GAAGGAGAAGAAAGCAGTATGTGGTAACTGAAGTCAGTACCTCAAATACTGACAATGCCACAATTTCTGTGCTAAGTGGGTATCACAAGAGGAATGACCACTATGGGAACAAGCAGGGTTCAATGATCTTGACAGTTCAGTGAAAAAGTCACTTATGTATTTGGAAAAGAGGTGTGTAACTTGTTCAAAACAGGACTCAACAGAGAATATAAGGACACACTTCAGTTGGGCAGCCCTTGAAGTGTAAAACATTAAAAAAGATACCTAGAGTAAACTACCAAATCCAGGTGGTAAAAGCTACCAGCAAGACATTCAACTGTTGTTTGCTATTCTGCTGCCTATGGGATCACAGCAGTTTAAACAACTTTGAAGATGTCAGCTGGAACCTACAGGGGAGGGAGACATTTCTTATGTAAATGAATAGATCAATCAGCCACCCAGATATGGCAACAAACCACCAATGCAAATGCTAACAATCCTAAAATGAAAAAATGCTCATTATAATTTAACAAGAACTTCTAACTCGAAGTTATGTAAGTCTCATAAACTCCTTAATCTATTTAATACACTCTGGTCTAATCTAGGCTCTAATCCAATATAGGATTATTATTGTGTAGTATAAATGTCTTTATGAACCTTGCAGTTTTGCCTTCCATCTCACCCTTCTCCCACTTTGGGACTACAACACTGATTCAAAATATGTACATACCAAGAGCTGTGTGAGTTTGGGAAAAATAAATAATGACAGGATGTAGGTGGGAGGCTGACTTGCCTTTCCCAGTGCAATAATTACTTTTGAGAAAATGTTCCCCTCATGCATTCTGGCAAATGTTGAAAGCCAAATGCCCTAAGTACAAGATTTTCACACTTAAGCTGAGTAGTATTTTACTATGGCTTAGAGTGGCACTTTATAAACTGCTCTGGCTTAAAGGCAGCTTGTGTCATGTTGTCTCGAGATCAAGGAGAAATCCTGGTGAATAAGTCAAAGCTCCTTCCCAGCTGTGGAGGAAGAAGACTGCTGACCTATGTCAAAGACTGACTATTTTCAAACAAGTCAGAGCTCTGCTCATTTTTTGAGGAGCAGAGACCTCAAAAAGAATAATAAGATTTTTTGCCTATGATCTAACTGTCCCATCTCCAAGTGGGAGGAGAGAAACAGTACTATAGACCCTTCTAGCTGGGTGCATGTTTATATTACCCTAACTAAAATAAGGGGAATCAGTCCTGCATGTTGGGTCCTTTCTCAGATTTACAGAGCAAGGAACAACCTTCCTTTCTCTCAACAGCCTCCAGTGAAATCATAGAATCACAGAAAACTTTGGTTTGGAAGGATCACCTTAAGGATCACCTGGTTCCAACTCATCTGCAGTGTCCAGGGGCACCTTTCACTAGACCAGGTTTCCCAGAGCTCCATCCAGCCTGGCCTTGAAGATTTCCAGGCATGGGGCATCCACAACTTCCTTGGGCAACCTGTGCCAGTGCCTCACCACCCTCAGAAAAGAATGTGTTCCTTTTATCAAATGTAAACCAACTCTCTGTCCATTTGCTGCCATTACCCCTTGTCCTGTCACTACCTGCTCTTTTACAAGCCCCTCTCAGCCTTCTCATCAGCTCCCTTTGGGTACTGGAAGGCCACAATTAGATCACCCCAGAGCTTTCTCTTCTCCAGGCTGAACAACCTCAGGTCACTCAGCTTGTCCTCACATGAGAGGTACCCCATCCCTCTGAGGATCTTCTGGAAATCATGGTGACTGTCTCATTGTGTAAGCCTAGCTAGCATAAGTCTATCACTTGATTGAGAAAACATGGCACACAGAATTCAGCCTTGTAGACTACTTGTGCCAGGCCAGGTGGAGACTCTGCCCCTTTGCCTTCTGACAGCCATCACTTCCACAGGGCACTCTTTAATGTTGAAACACTAATTGGGAGAATATATAAGGGTCAAGGACATATCATGAAAGGACAGTAAAACATGGAAATAGATTGGGTGAGTCAGGGTAGACTGCTAGGTAGATAGACTGCTTCCAAATTTATTTTTGAGTTTAAGTGAAGAGTCAAGACTATTTGAAGGTAATTTATAAGGTCGAAGTATTTGTGGTGTAGTGGTAGGTGGTGCAAAAAGGGCCAGTGCCCACCACTGTACTTTGGGATGCTCAGACTGGATGTTAGGGCAGTCATCTTCCCCAGGGAGATAGAGCAACACCCAAGCAGGTTACCCAAGAACTTGTGAAATCTCCATCCTTGGAGATTTTTAATATTTACCGAACAAAGCTGTGTCTGTCTAGTCTAATGCTGAAGATTATCCAGCTTTGAGCAGGCAGTGGAACTAAGCGTCTCCAGAGGTTCTTTCCCACCAACACATTTTGCAGGCTCTGATGGACAAAGTTAAGGCATGAATGAGGAAGACACCATCCTTCACCATGTCTACAGGCAGTCCTACATTCTCTGTCAGCCACATCTGGTGCTGCTCCTGTGCTTAACTTGCTGGAAACCCAGAGTGCAGGGTGAGAACTGATGGGAGAGTGGTGTTTGCTGACACAGTCAGGTCTTGGCCTGATACTGAAGTGCTTTACAGGCTGTGCTGACTTTAGTTATCTTCAGTGCCAACTGGTTATCATACTAAACCAGATTGTTCTGGATTGTTGGATGAGGAAGTATGAAACAGCTGATTGATTGATAATCATGAATTTTCAGTATACAGTGCTGGGACTTGCCTTCATAGAAGTTGTGAGACATCTGCTGTCACTGGAGCCACTGGCAGGATTTTGCTAGTGAGGGAGGAAAGGACTGGTCACAGCAAACTGCGTGGACCCCTTGACAAACAAGCTCACTGCAGCTGCTCCCTGTGTATGTCACCCACTAATGGGTGGAAAAGAAGGTTCCTTGCACAATTAGCTGGAGTGAAAGTACCTGTAGAAAGAATCTGTGCATATTATATCACTGTATAAATTATTGAGCTGATGTTCTGGAGATAATAGAGGAAACTCTTCCTTTCTTCTGTCCTAAGGATGGCAACTCTGAAAGTTTACACCTGCTTCCTGGAAGTTGTACCTCCTGTAGGCTCTGCTTAGATAATTAATTTGCAATATTCATTAGCCAGAGGATCAGTGTAATAATATATAGACAAACAAAGGGATTTCATGCTTATATATTGAGTCAGCTGTGGTTTTTCTTCTGGGCGTGGGTGAAGCTGCTGTTGAATAAATGGCAAAAACCCACATAAACCCAACAACAAAAAACAACCAAGTATTTTGATGTTTATCTGTATAATATTTCTGAGCAATAGTTATAATCATTAGTGAATCACAGGCAAGAGAGAACCATGTGGCTGTAGCTACATTAGGAGCTCTGCACTTTTTCTTCTCATCTGCAGACACAGAGGATTCCGAGAACTGAGTGGGAGATATGTGCTGTGCCTGATATCACTCATGTTCTTCTCTCATATGCTCTATATGATCCAGCTAAGTCCCAGTGTTTGTAGGAGGACAGAAGCACAAGGACAACTCCTGCACGATATCAGGCACCCATGAGCTTTCCCCAAATACAGAAGAGGTATGGAGAGCAGCTCTCCTCCTTCACTTTCCTCTGACTGCAGGAGAGATATGTTCCCCTTGTTCCTCTGGTTTCTACCTTAACCTTTTATAACAATTCCCTGAGTGCTGGCTTGCCCCTCCCTGGTGAGTACTCCTGGCCACAGGGATGGCAGTTGCAGGTGTATGCCCTGCACACAGCACCGTGCATGCCAACAGGGACCCCTAGCCAGAAGGGCCTGCGTATTTTGGAAACGAAACTTTACTCATGGTCACTTCCCTTATCACTGGGATCCAGTATTTCTATGTGTTCCACCCCCTCTTCTTCCCTCCCTTTTTCCCCAGAGGCCCACACAAGGCCCCCAGGTTGTGGAGTCTTGTCACAACAGCGCAGGCAGAAGAAACACATCTGAAGGCACCGGAGGCAGGCAGGGGTGTGGGCTGAGATATATGGTAGTAGTCAAAATTAGGAGTGCTTAGAGGATTTCAGAGCTAAAAACAATGCCCACCTAATTCTCTTTCCCTCTGGCTGGAATGAAACAAAGAAGGAGCTGCAGCTCCACTGTTCGTCTGCACAGTTGTTCTTGCCAGACAAGTGTGTGCAGCTGGTACAAGGCTTTATTAAGGGAAACTAAACCCTCAAGCAAACTCACAAGCAGTTTTCTGTTTCGTGTGTCTGTCATGAAAACCCTGGTCATTTGTTATTTGGGGCAGTACACCCTATCATGGTGAAGCTGCTGCTTCCTGTATCCCTCAGCCATCACTCCCAGCATCAACAAGTTCCTGAAGTTTGGGCAGAAGACACTTATTGACAATCTGAGGCCAGGTCATTTATTCAGAGAAAGAATGCTAGACTACAGTTTTTGTGCAGGACTGTAAAAATGAAGCCAAGACTGCTGTTCAATGTACACTGCAATTTCAGGCACACCTTCCACTGAAACTGGTTCCCTGATTTCTTCCTGGGGACTCATTTACTACAGCAAGAATTTCATTCATCAAGAGAAAATGTTTTAGGTGTATGGAGATATCTGACAATTAAAGTAGATATCTCAAGAGATATGCAGCAATCTCACGGGCAAGCCTACCCCCAGGTACCCAGGCACCTTTGAACTCTGGCTGCCAGCACTGAGGCACTTAGACTGTAGAAATGCTGAAAGACAGATTAGGAAGTGTTCTTTTAAAAATGGTGGAAAGTTGTTTTATATCGACTTGGTGATGGTTAGCATTTTCTAATTTTGACCTTCAAGGCCCTGAATGGGCATATTTGTAAAAGGTCAAATGATAAAAAGTATCCCATGTGTTCCAAATGGAGCCTTTACTTTGCCTGGTGAATATTTTAGTGACCCAGTTAGAGCAAGAGGTTTTATTGAACAGAGCAGGCAAATGCAGAGGGAAACAGAAGACCTGTCATCCCTGTGACAATTATACGTCTGTCTCTGTGTAATCCACCCTCTCAGCCTGATAAACAAGAGCCTGTGCATGGGTTTTGAAAGGAAGGTGACCATCACCTTCTGTGATCTGGGTATTTTCTTGTGTACACCTCCGCTAGCCTGTAAAGCAGGTAAGTCTTAACCTCTGCATTATGATATTGTTTAGGACTCCAGTCCTACTCTGAAGTGCATTCTGGCTTTTTAATCTTTCTCTGGGGCTCATTCAACATGTTTCACTTATTCTGGATTTCTACTTTCAGTTACTTTTGGAATCCACTACTTTGCAAGTAATTGCATTTCCATCTGTTTTTTTTATGTTGCTTCCCTGTGTACTCACTCATAAGCAGCATACTTACTGTATCCTCAGTGAAGCAAACCTTGGGGATGATCAGCTCACATCTGTTTACTGCAGGCAATTTATAGGAAAAGGCTCAGCCCAAGCAAATATGACTGAGTAAATTGACAGATGATAGTTATTCTTATTACGGGTGATCTTCCTCTGACCACCTTTAAACTGGTGTGGAGCTTTCTATATAAATGCACTTTTACTTTCCCAGATGGAACTTTTTGAAGACATTTTCTTGAGAAAATTTTTAAATTATCAGGAAGGAAAGTATGCCTTCATTTTTCCTGTATTTTCAGGTATAGGCACAAAAGTTTTCCTTTTACAGCAGCTTTATAAAATGGAAACACAGTTGCTTGTTTTCTTAAATAAAAATCCTTTCTTTCCATTCACCTTTTTGAAGCAATTGCTTATGAGTTCAGGACCATGGAGTTTTTTTATTACAGTCCATCCTTTCTCACACACAGCCAACAGGATGGATCAACTGAAAGCCTTACTCTTAGCCTAACAATCTCTGTCTTCATCTGGCCCTCCTTCCCTTCCCAGAGACTGGCCTTTGGTTTGACTCCTGTGCAATGTCAGTGACCGTATCTTTGCCCCACAGCTCTCCTGCTCACTGCTATGACCACTCCACTGGAAGATGCAATGGACACCTTGATTAGGATTTTCCATCACTACTCGGGCAAAGAAGGAGACAGGAACAAGCTCAGTAAAGGAGAACTCAAGGAGCTCCTCACCAGTGAGCTCACTGATTTCCTTTCAGTAAGATGCAGCTTTTGAACCTCCTGAGTGACTGTGTCATGAGTGGGTTAAGCAGCTATCCAAGTGCTTGGACAGGGATAGCACCTCCTTGTGCAAGGCCCATCCTATGACAGTCTCTCAGATAACAGTTCTTTGTGGAGCTGTACAGAAGAATATGATGTCAAATGTCCTGTTTGAGAAATATGTTTTCAGAGGGTGGACAGTACCCTCCCATGTACCACTGGCAGCAGAGATGGGTACCGATGCTCTGCAAACTCCACAGTGCTTTTGAGCGGGAGGCCTAGGCCAGCCTAGGAGCAGTAGCAAGATCAATGCTAAATAATGGTCAATTTATTTGTTTGTTTCTTTGTCTGTTTGTTTTTAATAATAAGGCATAGATAAATCCATTGAAGACTTAAATGCAGCAACCAGTTTTCATGAGAGAGGAAAGTAGCTTGTGCATACTGGCCACACAGTACTGATGCTTGTGTGCCCTGCAGAGAGGTGCTAAGGAAATCCTTTCAATGATAATCTGCTGATTTGAATATCTCTTTGCATGTTTGTTGTGTTCTACATTACACAGCATAGATGCTTTTATGGAATCAAAGCTTTAAAAATAATGGTTTTATGTATCCTCTTAATTATAAAAATTATTGTGGTCCCTATCCCAGAAGGATTTTCTTTACATTGCACTCATTTCCTTGAATTGGATTTTCTTTTAATCTTGGCTATTGATTTATTATTATGAGATTCAATGGTCTTGCTCCCACTGAATAGGATGGTTTTTTGCCAACCAGAGTTCTTCTGAATTTGGTAAATGGATATATAATATGACAATTTATGAGTATTCTGTTGGAAATCTAAGTACTGTTTGTCAAGGGATGATACAGAGAAATGCACTTTACAGATCCACCTTGACAAAAGAGATCCATGTTTAGTATCTCCTAAAATCTGTTTGATTCATTTCAGTCCTCATTTAGAACCTGTATACCTTTTAAGGGCTGCACTCTCTTTAGTTTCTGATGTTGCAGTGACTAGAGATGTATTACTGTTCAGGTGCATATTTAATGCAGCCTTTATTTAATAACACCAGCCTTGTAACATAGCAGTGGTGCCAGGCATGTCAGAAGTGCACATTCAAGACCTGCACAGCTAAGTCACTTTTCTTTCTCTCTAGGGCCAAAAGGACCCCCTCCTGGTCGATAAAATTATGAATGACCTGGACTCCAATAAGGACAATGAAGTGGATTTTAATGAATTTGTCATTCTGGTTGCTGCTTTGACAGTGGCATGTAATGATTTCTTTGAAGAACAGCTAAAGAAAGAGGAATTTTAAAAATCCTCTATGTAATCAATCTCCAGTCCACAAATGCAAGCAAAGCATGCCTAGTTAGGTAGCCCTCATTGGTGATTAGTAAATGCAAACCATAATTCCTCCAACTGTTACTGCTCTAAGACATTTATGGACCTAGTCAGCAGCTGGTGTAAGCTGGACTACAGCCAGCTTGCACTACTTGAGATGTGCAATATTTCCAGTCTTTGCACTCCATGCATCTGTAACATGCCTTCATCAGTTGGCCAGGTCAAGGGCTTGGGGTGACAGATCATTTGGCATGAGTTGAGACTTCTATTTCTCCAATGTCAGTGGAAAGTAAAAGGCAGGGGAATGTTACTTATATACCTTCTGCATGGAAAAAATTTGGAATGAGACACAACACCTGCAATTTAGTTATCAGTCATTTTATAATAATCTTATTTTGCAGCTCAAAACCAGCAGATTCTTTTTAGCTCAGTTCTGCTTATTCTAAAACCTTTGTTAGTTGCTGCTCCCCACACTCATATTTCAGATGTGGTCACAGCTGTCTCTTGCTGCTGGAGCATACAATACTGCTTGCCATTGTTATGGGTTCATTTCCTCCTGTCTCCAGCTTCAATTTTGTTCTGTTGGCATCGCTGCATCCCAGTAGTCAACCTCTTCACTTGGCATAAATGAATTTATTCATATCATAAATTATTCAAGTACATAGAAGATTTAGTCACCAAATTGCTTGGAGGGCTGATGGAAGGACTGGGTCTTTGGGGGAAATGTGTAAATGCCTTCTGCTTTGACTACTTTGGCATGGTTAAAAGGAGGCCTCTTAGGACCACTTGTGGAAGATTTAATGATGAAATTCCAGGGTACAGCTTTGTAATGTGAGTCATCTTATGGAAAAATTGTTATTTCATCTTACACTGATCCCCACCCTGTATGGAAGTAGGGGTTCCCTGAGCCCCACGGCCAGGCAAAGAGAGAGTAGGCAAACTCCTTCCAGTGTTAGCTTGCTCATGGGTTGAGTTAAGAGTATTTACACACTCCTGTTTGAATTAAGCATACTTAAGCATCCTCAGTGGCAGGATATTGTGGCTTTTTTTCCTGCACAGAGAGCTCTTATATCCTTGTTATTTTGCTGGTAACCTCAAACTATAATAAAGGGCATCTGAATTAAATGAAGAATTTCTGTTTGTGTAAGACATTATTAAATAACCACTCCCCAATGAAGATGTGCCCTGCAAGGCAATATTTGCAGAATTAGTTCACTTGTCTTTCCTTCCCAGGCATCCAAATATCATTTAGCAAAGTGTACATTTGTATGAAATTACATATGATTAAGAATATGTAATTTCTTATTAGCAGGGGATTTTGCAGGGTGTAATAAATGTAACAAGGGGCAGACAGCATCCTAAGAACAGGGCCACCACCAAATGGTGTTATCTGGGAAGAAAAGCAAACTTTGCAATGGTGACAGTGCCACAGCATGCTTTAACCCTTGAATGAAAAAGTTATGCAGGATTCACAAAATATCTTCTAAGCCAACATGACAGAAAGTACAAAAGTAAAACTGGCAACAAATGGACAACTTTTTGCTCCCTTTAATGTTGTGTACTTCAATATCATTGCAAGTGTTGGACCAGGATGGCAAAAGTATCAGCCAGAAAATATAAGACCACTTTTACGGTTTCTCAGGGGCCCCAGAGAGTTGCTAGCCACTATACCTTTCCCTGTTCTCCAAGGGGAAGTGAAAGAAGACCTGTTTTAATCTTCAACTCCAAGCTAAAAGGACTAAGGTTATCCCAGTAGAAGCCACTTCCTTCTCTAAAAAACTTGAACAAGAATCTTTCTGGAAAGAAGCTCCAGAAAGAAGGCAATCCCTGATGAACCCTTGTACATGTAGCAGCCCATGTGCATAGCAGAATTATGCTGGGTCACAGCTGGCAGCAGCAATTTCCCCTGGAGTCAGGCAGCAAGAGTCACTGCTGCAGCGGAGAGGGCCAGAGAGCCATCTCATCAGCTGAATTTGCTAGGGATTGTGTGCATCCTAACTGCTCTGTGGAAGGGGCTTACTTGCAGATGAGCTGTGGGAGAGTCAGAGGAGAATGACTCAAATGATCTTTTTTCCAACAAAGTTTCATAAAACCTCATAAATTACTGGTTTTAGCTTGTCTTGTTAGGTGTTTCTTTGTTGCTGTTTTAACTACAGGACAAATGTTAAACTCTGTCTGTTCTGTCAGAAGAAACTTTTTTGTACAAAGACAGGAAACCAAGCAGAAAACTAAGAAAATGCACAAAACACATTCAAAAGCTCAAACCCACAAAGCCTTCACACAATATGGGCCCCTGGCCATCCTATTCTTGGGCTACCTGTGGGCTGACCCACGGCACCCTCTCTTACTCCTCTCACACAGGAGCCAAGTAATGTTCCATTAGACCATTAGTTGTTCCAGTAGACATCGCTTCTAAGAAAGATATATGAGGATCACCTGAAAGTTTTGAATTGCCTCTGAGCCAGAAAAAAAACTGTGAGTAATCCTCTGTTCTGTAAGCACTCCTCAAGAAGGAAGATGGCATTGAAACCATGGACATTGGCTATGCAAGAGGGTGCATGCAAGGCCAACCTCACTATGAACATGATGTCCTGCTGATGCAAACCTTTTTGGGTCTTTATTCTCTCTTTCAAACCTGAAGGCAGGATTTTTTTACTGACATTTGCCCACTGACTTCAAGTCTTCTGTAATTCATGGATCTAGTGAGCACTTCGAAGTTTTACATGCAGATCAAGCTTGCTGTGTGGCTTTCTCCAGAGTGCCTCAGCATTAGAAATGATGACTAACTACAGACATTTTTTCCATTTGTTATATCAGGCTGTCTTAAAAACCTATAGAAATTTGAACATCAAAACATGGCCTAATATTTTCCAGTTACATCAAAGACCAATAAAAATAGAACAATGCCAGACAAGATCTTTTCTCTATATTGTGAAATTTCTTTGCTTGACATCTAAAGAGCAGATTTGCAGAAGACAAATTCCACTATCTTGAAAGCCTCAGCCTCTGCCATTTGCTTTTATTTCAGTTCAAAAGAGATTTGAAGTGCCTGTGCAATTGGCAACACAAAGCTTGATGCATTACCTGTTGGTAAATTTATAACTTCTTCAGATTTGTTATCCAGCTACCAATCCTGAAGAGCTGTGCATGACACCCCCATGAAGACAAGGAGTTTGTAATGGAGCTGTGCCTCCAAGCTGTGACTTACCAGCTAGGTCCAATAGGAAGGCACCACCTTTCAAAGGAAGGTGTGGAAGTGCAGTAGGAGAATAATCCCAAGCAGCTGGAAGGCGTCAAGTGTAATGGGATAACAATCTCCCACAACACCATTTTCTCCCTGTAAAGATGAGAGACAAAGTTGCCTGGCTTTGTGAGAAGGGAAAGAGAAGTGACCCCAGGAGACTCCAGCAGAACAGATGATGTTTCCAGTAGCTAGTAATGTTATTAATTGCCGTCCACCAATGTAGCAGTGTAGGTCCACCCCAGGTCCCTCAGCCACCCAAGGCAGACCCCTTTTCCAGGTTCCATGCTACAGCATAAAGCAGGGCAGGGCCAGGAGAAAAAACTTTCAGGGACAGCCCAGAGTCCATCATACGAGCTCAACAACACACATAAAAGATCCAGTTCCTCTCTGATCACAGCCTTGAAAAGGTTGGGTAAAAGGTCGCACACAAAACTTGTATCTGAAATCAGATTAATCTATATAAAGGTTTTTGACTGGCAGGAAGATTGAGATTTAGATTAAGATTTAAACTGTGATGTGACATCATGTGCATGTCTAATAAGGGCTTTGATTGACAGGCCATCAATTATTGCATGTGCCTTTAGGGATAATTACGTCTGTTGAATAGCACTGTATTATTTGAAGAAAAAAGGGGTAACATTTTCGATTTGATCTTTCTTCTGCCACATGATATGGCATGAGAGAGAATGTTTAATTTATGATCTGGAAATCCATTTTCTAAATTACTTCTGTCCACATCCTTTCCTCTGAGTTGGAGGATGGTGGGCTATAGACCAGGCAGCACAAAGAGAGCACATGAATGAACTTCAGCAAAAATATTTTAAAAAAAAAGAAACACCAAAAATCTTGTCATTTTTAAATACCAGCTCTCAGCCACCTGCTATCAGTTGTGTATAAGGGGCAACTCCCAAGGAAGAGAACTGCAGCTGCATCCACTTATTTTGCCCTTGCAAGCAGATTCTCAGCTGATGTAAAATGACAGAGCCTATTGCACTCAGTGGCATAATTTTGCAGCAGCTGAGAACATGTGCTTGAGACTCTAAATTAGCCTTCAATGGAAAGTTGTGTTTCTGTAAGCTGGTTGGCTAAATAAGGACATGTCTATAAAACTGCAAATATTGCAACAAGACAGCAAAGAGGAGGACAGAAGAAGTAGTTGCTCAGAACCCAAGTCTTTGGGGGAAAATCAGTGCAAAATGTTCCTGTCACACATTTGCTTTAAATCTCAAGCTGCCCTCTCAAGTCCTGTTTGACTGTATGGAGTGCAGAGCAATCATCACAGTATTGCTTTCAAATATCTGTCAATGGACTCTGCCTTAAAACTCCATGTATGGCTTTGATTTTACCTTCCCAGTAGTTGCATGAACTCAGAAAAGCACTACAGAATAAAGCTATGGCAGGAAAAAGATCTGTGTGTAGAATAAGTTATAAAGGGCAGAAAAGCAACTGAACCACCTGGAGCCCTACTTAAGATTGTTTTCTTGGAGTAGAAAAATGGTGAGAATTTGAGACTGCTGCAGAAGAATGTAAATTCCTCAGCTCTGGCTGGGGACATCAAGTGGCAGATCCCTGTGGCTGAATGATGGGTCTGGATAAGACACAGGGCTGGAGAGTTCCATCCCATTGCACTATCGATGCCTTCGGTAGATGAAAGCAAAACTGGTTTTGCCCTTGCACTAATGACCGAATTCTGCACTTTTAGGAAAGACCTCTCTCTCAGAGGAGGGTTT